CGTCCGAAGGTCACCCATGTGGGAAGAGAGTAGTTATCGACCTTCATCTATGAAAAGGTGCCCCAACATAGAATCGAGTTAACATGTCTTATATCAGGGGTGATTGTGAGTTCAACTCAAAAATCCAGAAAATTTCTTGAGTAAAATCATGAAAGACACATGTCTTTATAAATTTAAATCATTGATATTTTCAAAACATTGAATTCTTAATAAATTATATACAGCATAATTTAAATGAATAATTAAGTAAAAGTTTATCTCTCATCACATTTATTATTCTACCAAAAAAAAAAAATATTTACAAATGAAAGATGCCAAGTATAAATTCTAGTTCTTGGGCACTATAGCCCATGACAGGCCAAAGGCCGTCCCAATAAGTTTTCGCCATCTTGATCTATTCTGTGCCATAGCATAGCTCTAATATTTTTAAATAAAATATTCAAGAATTTTTATACATAAATGTGATCAATGATTTCTTAAAACTTCTGGACCTAAGATTTCCGGAGAGCAGTTAGGGAAAAATCCGGATTTTTTTTCAGAGCACAATCACCTCTGCTTATAAACTAGTGAATTCGAATTGTATATTTGTAGGGGTAGACACACTACAGCAATCTCTAGAGAAAGAATGTGCAAAGAGTCAGATAATAAAATTTATTTGATACAAGAACAATCCCATTATAAAGTCAAGGATAAATACACACAGTATCAGAGAGAGGAGAAAGGAACACTACCCTAAACTTAAATTCAAAACAAAGAGAAGACATAAAAAAGCACACGTGAGAAGAAGAACAATTTAGAAAAGAATATTAAAATGAGAAGACAATGTTACTTTACAATATAAATAGTCTCCCTTAAAAGAGGAACTGCATGTCATCCATCCTGAAGAATATTATAAATTTCTAGTACTGATGAGTAGACAAAAATTTTGCAGCTTTTATTGAAATTTTGTTTATGTGTGGAAACACCCCACATTACATCACTTCTATATCAAATGAAACTCACCATTAAATTGGCTCACAACTTTAACAGGGTGCGTAACCTAATCTTTCAACAAAAAATATTTTAAAGCTCTACATACATTAAACAAAATAATTTTCAAAGACTTTACATGATCATGATAAAATAACTAGTTTCTGACAAAGAACTCTTTTCTCGATTATATTAGCCATCACAAAGAAGATCGAGAGATTTTTTGGTTCGATTCCAGAGGGTGACGTGCGGACTCTCGAGAATTTCATCAAACGTGTAAAATGATGGGCACTTTCATATGCTACCGACCGACGGTACACTGAAATCTATTGTGGTTGAATGAATTGTGAAAACGTTCAGCAGAAGAATGTAAATAGCACACTTTTGCACAATACGTGGTGAAAATTGTCACGGTAAAGAAAAAAAAATCTCATTTTTGAAAATTGAGCACTTTTTAAAAAGCACCTTTAAGGGGTTTTAAAATACGAAAATTGAAAATAAGCACTATGAGCGCTTTTTAAAAACGTTACGCACCCTGTTTCAGATATCAGAACAATTGATTTACCATCACACGTCAATGCAGAAAAATGACATGCAGTTCTCTTGCTAATTTATAAAATAATGAAGAGCTTTATTCAGAGAAGTTTTTGCAATTTTGAACAGTTCATTTAAACTAACCCCTTTCATCACATTGAATAAATGGGAGGGTTTTCTAAATTAATCGAAGATTATTCAATAATAAAATTAAGTTATTATATTTTAGAAATTGTTGTTACTACCTTTTCAAAAAGAAATATAACACATAATATTACAATAAATGGCAAAGTTGATAACATAAAAAAAATCTATTACACAATAAACTATATGATTTACGTATCTAAAAACCAAAAAGAAAAATTTATTTCCAAATACTACTGAAATAATTATTTAATGCAATATACACCCATAAATTTACTTTAAAAAATATTATTTTTCAATTAAGGAAGATTATATTTTTAAAAAACACTTTGCACACAAATCAATTTAAAAAGTTTACGCATGTAGAAACTCGGTCACTGAACGTGGTCATGTCGAAAGAGTCTAATTTAGTTAAGTTTAAATCTAACAGGAATAAAAAAAACTGTGCTGGAAACTAAGGATCTCATTAGCTACAACTATTTTATTTTACAAACACAAAATATGTTTAGAAAAAAAGATGAACTGAAAGAAGAGAGAAAGAACAGTTTATTGAAATTCTAAAGCCACACATTCTACTTAAAGACTTTTTTACACTATAATTACATAAAAATTAATCAAGCAAGCTAAAGATTTGCTTACTTATTATTATTTTTTTTAACCTATTACGACCTTTAAAGCAGACGAAAATTACTTGTAAACAGATGGCATTTTAAATCACTATTTCCACTATGAAAAATCTGAGCTTTTAGATATTTAAAAAAAAAAAAAAANAAAAAAAAAAAAAAAAAACGAAAACATTTGCAGCCTTGGAAAATTTTATATAATATTTCTTGCAATTTAAAACTTTTACGCTTATGATTTTACAAACAGGGCTTTATATTAACCTCCTGAACAACTTATAGATTTAAATTATTAACAAACAATTCAAAAAATAAATTTTTTTTTCAGCCTCCTTATTTTTAAAAAAACAGTGAAACCTCTAGGGAGTGACCGTTCCTCAGTAAAAGGGCCGTTTTTAAAGGTTACCCCCATTGCAGGAAGCGTAGGCAAATTATTCAACAAAAAATAAGCACCTTTTAAGCACTCAAAAAATATTTTTAAGCACAAAATATCATAATTAGGCAGGGTTGGAAAGGTTGGACAGGGTTTTTGACAATTGACCGTTTTATCTTGTTTTAACCATCATGTCAAAAAAAAAAAAAAAAAANCACTGTATAAAATTTTGAATCATGTAAAACGAATGGCATTTTCATACGCTACGGACTGACAATACGCCGAAATAGATTGGGGTTGAATTGTGAAAACGTTGAATAGAACAATGTAAACTGTATCGTTTTGCATAATTCAAAGTGAAAATCAACATAGTAAAGGAAAAATCTCATTTTGAAAAAGGGAAAATTAAGCACTTTTTAAAAATACCCAATGAAAAAAGCACCTTTAAAAAAAACTACGCACCCTGCATTGGCTTCAAGATGTTATCAAGAACACGGTTTTCGGCAAACTATTTTAATTTTAGTCCGTGTGATTTTCTTGGTGCGGAAATGCCACTTCTGTCGGCTATCACTAATCCAGGAATAAAATTTAGCGTTTATAAAAATTATCTCAACCGATATAATTATAGCATAAAAATTAGTTAGTTTTAAAAGGTGATAAGAGGTTTGTCTATTTGAGATGCTTTTTTAATTTTAACTTCTTGTATTTTAAAAAACTTTTCTTCTTTCTAAAATTTAACTTTCAACTCTAAAAGTAATTCAGTGCACTCTGACTACAACTCTCCATATAAGAACCTCAAGCAAATATTTTGAATAAATTTTAATCTACTTATTTGTTTTTTTGTGTTTCTTTCTTTTCTTTTTTGGTCTTTTCCACATTTGGTGCAGATGTTGCTGGGAGAGGGTGTCTTCCAAAAGTTGCCACTGGAGGTTTCACTGTACTATTTAAAATTCTTTTGTTGCATAATTTTAGATATCTATTATAGTTTTGAAGTTATTTACTGTTCCAAGGATATCTAGTTTTATTCCTTTCCTGCTCACGCATATCTTTTGTTAGTCTTAAAATTTAACATAAATGACGTTTTTACGCATGGGAGGATAAATTAAATTTTGCAGTTCATTTATAAAAACATCTTTGAAAATAATTATTTAAAAAACTTTCAATTGATCCAACTGTTCACAATTAGAGCAGATAATATAACTATTACATACATATATATCACATTACTTATAAAGAAATACATACATGACAATAGAGAAAGAATTTATTTACATGAAAATAGGGTTCATTTCTTCCCTTTTCATTGTGATTCATATAAACTTAGCAATTTATGCTTTTTGAATCATGAATTAAATTAACTCAAACTTTAAAAGATATCTAATAACACTTTTTTCAAGATAAATTATTTTAAATGAAAGAAAAAGATTAATTATTACTATAAACTATCTCAAAAAAAATAATTATCAAATCCAATGATGAAAAAATACATTCATTAAAATTTTTAAACTTTTTTGTTATCATTTTCATTCATTGATTGAAAACTTATGTTTTTACAAAATACATAGAGAGGATTTATTTCTTCAAATGCATATTTCTACAGTAAATATTTTACTGAATATAACACATATAAAATATTTCACAATTAAAGGGCAAACAAAAGAAAAAAAACAAATGGACAACCTAAATTTTTTTTCTTCTTCTTCATACCAAATCTTCGTTAATTAGTGAGAAAAAAAATGATTAAAACTTTACATAGGTTGGACGGTTTTAAAACGCTGCATATTATTTGCTTAGAATCATATTATAGTCACAGACAGAATGACATCATAAAAATTACTTTCTCTTATGAAAATAAAAGTACCCACCATTAGTAAATAATAAAAAACACATTAATTTGTCAATAGAAAAGTTCCACCATGTATTTCCCAGCTTACAAAGTAATCTGTAATAACCATTCTTAAAAATACATAGAAAGTATTAAAGGCTAAAATACATTGTTTTCATACATTATGCCAATAAAATTGTATCTGTTTGCTTGCATTTAAATTATTATTTTTAATATGTAGAAAAAAATGATTCTATAAAAATACTATTATTAATTCCAAAATTTTGAATATAGAATTTTTCAGTTCAAGAATATTGATAAAAAGAAAGTTGTTTTCATTTCACAACTAATTATCTCTAATTTTAGTTTAGAAATATAAATTATTCAGTAAACCTATTATTTTCATTCCTTTCAAAGCAATGAATAACAGTTATGCTTCATTTTATTTGATAATTATTTCACACTATTAAAACTTAAAAAATAGAAAAAAAATTCTAATTTCTTAGGGATATTTTACAAAATAATTCAAAACAAAAATAGTTTTAAAATTTCATTCATGCACATATTTTTAAAATTTGTAATGGATCGCTAATTTATTTCTAAACATTTATTTTAGAACCACACATTTAATAATAGCATAAATGCAATACAATTTAAACATGCCAAAAATTCAGTCAAACAAGTAACATATAAAACAAAATACAATAATGGAAAAATCAAATATTTATTTATATTAATGCAAAAATTTAAAGAATATTTTTTTTAAAAGTATTTCCTTAGGTAAATTTTTGGCAAAGCACCTTCGAATCCATTAAAAATTATTTTAATATATAATTATTAAAATATATATTTTGGAATGTCTCTTAAGTGGTGGAAAATATATGGCAAGTACAACTAACAAAATGAGTATTATTAATAATAAAGAGATTGCCTTTTATAAAGATGTTGTCACGATGATGCAAAAATTCTCACGAGATATCTGCTCTGCGACCAGCTTCTCTGTGGTGGTCTGTTGTTGTTGTTCCCGAGGATGTATCTTGCCAGCGGCGTATGGGGGGCGGCGAAAAGCCCTACGGTGTGAGATGAGGGGATTGTGGCGAGACAATGACAATAACAAGCACGCCAATCTCATCCACATTGAATTAAGAGATAGAAGCGACTTCTACTCAAGATATTTGAATGAAACCTCTCACAGGAGGTATTTTGACCAATTATCATCACACCCAGGGAGTCCAGCCTTCATAGAGCACAGCTAGATTTTCCATATTGGTCGCTTCCTTAATAACAAAATCAATCTAAAAAAGAAAACAAATAATTCAATACATACCAGAAATTTGATGGTTTTTAATAGATAGAATTTATTTAATTAAAAGATTTCACTTTTTCTCTTTGCATTAAAACCCTTTCACGGTTAGGGAAACGGGCAGTTTTCGTTTACTTAATTAGCAAAGTATTACAAGTAAACAGTAGTCGAAAGTGGCAGCTGTTTTCTCCCGCCGTTCTTCCGAAAATGTCACCCTTCTATGGCGATGCCGCAGATAGCTCACACGCTTGAAATTTTTTTAAAAGTATTTGTAGTATATAAATAACAGTTTTTACGTACTTTAAAATAATTAATAAATGATAATTATTAAATAGTTAATTATAAATTATTATAATCAGTTATATAAATAATAATAGTTAATTATAAATATAAAAAATATTAAATTGAATAATCATCACATAATTATCTAACTTACGCTTTTGAGATATTTTACTTTACAAACACCCTAAAAAACGCATAAAAAGTGCAAGGTAAAAAAAAAAAATATTCCCCCTTCATTATTAAAAGAAATTCTTGGAATCCGTACTGCCATCTGTAGACAGTAAAACTAACTACATTTCGAGAGTAGGATTCGTTTGTAACATAATCAATGCAGAATAATAATGGGGAACGAGCTCAGCTCTTCAGCGCGCATTGGAGAAAAATTTCCATACACGAGTAGTGCTCGTTTTTAACCATTTTGGTCGAAATCTTGCTCGCGAGCGGAACTCCTTTGCGTGCATTAGGAAGCCCGATTCAATTGGGAGCCAAACTCTTTCATAACCATCAAAGGGTCAATAGAAGTAATTTGTTTCTAAAAATTGCCTTTTTTGGTGGGCCGCTAGATAGGGTCTAATACCATTTATTAGAGATCACTCTTCAGAAAATGATTCATTTCCCTCACTTGTTTGTCAGTGGTTCCCTTTGTTATGAGCAACTGACATATGTGCACATTATATATTTATCAGTGGTCAGAAAAGCATTATTTTTTTTTTTTTTTAGCTACAATAACTCTCAAAATGCAGTAAAAATTTCACTACTTTAAGGACTAAAATTTTTTAGGATAACTTACATATGTTTAAAATTGTTTTCATTAAAAAAATTGGATAAGAAAGATAATATTTATAAATGTTTAAATGAGCCAGTTTATTATTCTGAAACATTTAACCTTTTTATGCTTCTCTTGACGGCATATATTTAAGAAATCTACAAACTAAGCAACTATTTTATTTCCTCTAAGAAATTAAAAAATATGTCTTGAAATTACATCAATATTTCAGGAGTGTGCAAGTGAAAGTGGGACCAAAGTGATAAATTATTATTTAATGTTTAAATATTTAATTATGCGTGATTCTAAATACGTAATTTTTCCTGACACTCAGTCACAGGGGCACTCCGTCCTATGTACCCAATACATTCAAAAAATTAGTTGTGTTAGAACCTTGTTTTTTACTAGCACACACACTAAATTGAGATTACAGAAGTTTCACTATTTGAAGTGCACTACTTCTAACCAGGGTTAGAGATTCTTTTGATTTTTATCCAAATACACTGTAAGAACTTTGATTTATGACTAAAAAAACTATAAATGTTTAATAAAAATTAAATTATTATTAAAACTATTTTATAAGAATATTTTAGAAGCTCTAACTACCTAAAACAATTTTTCATTATAACACATAGCTTTGAATGCATAGCAACCATTTTGAAACAAATGCAAGATTGAAATTTAAAGACTAGATGAAGTAGAGAATTTAAAGAATGCCTTAACAATTAAAACAAAGTTTCAATTAACAAACCATAATTTTAATTTAAAATTGCGATTTTTTTTCTTCTTCTTTTGAGTTTTAAAATGAGAAAATAAATGTAACAGATTGTGCAGCAATTTATTTAAAATATATTTTAAAACTAAGAAAAGAAATAATAAAAATATCAAGAATTTAAAACACTGTTTTTAACATTTTAAATCAATCATTTTCTCGCATTTTTCTGCATGTTATTGACTTGTTTGCCATTCCTATAATGTTAATAACCGTTTTGAAACTAGAAGATTCCTGTCTCTAGCATTCACAAATTCTACTATGTCATGATTATACATTGAGAGTTTGTATTCAGAAAATTTTTCTTTCTATTTACAAGCAGGTCTCATTGCAGAATTAGATTGATGTATGAAGTCTTTTAAGGTATATTACAGTGAGGATTATCTTCAATTAATGAAGGGTTTTAGATACCAAAGTGGTGTTGTCTTTTAAATGTGTTGCAGTGGGTAAAAATATGTATAACAGTTCCATGCACTTTGTCTAAAAGGTGAGTTATATGTCTGAGACTTACACGCAAAGTGTTTAAAAGCTGATGTTTTAAATTGTCTATATTCCCACAGTTTGTTTCAGTTTCAACAATTTTGCCAGTGTTAGTTGAGAGTAGTGTAAATAATTTTTTTTTAAAATCAGAATAGGCCAGTGGATCATTAGACTGTGTGAAATTTTTTTGCTGTTTAGTTTCCTGTTATGTTAGTTCCAACATTGTTCAAATTGAGTTATATTTGCTGGAAGAAAAGGAGGATTAATACAGGGTGTGTAGCCAAATTATTCAACAAAAAATAAGCACTTTTCGAGCACTCAAAAAATATTTTTAAGCATTTTAAGTTTTTGACAATCTACGGTTTTATTCCGCTTTAACCGTCATGTCAAAAAAAATAAAAACTTTTGGCATGCTTTTGACAATTGTCAAAAATCACGAAATTTTGAATCATGTATAACGAATGGCGTTTTTATACGCTACGGACTGAGAGTACGTCGAAATAGATTGGGGTAGAATTAATTGTGAAAACGTTGAAAAGAACAATGTGAACTGTGTCTTTTTGCATAATTGGAAGCGAAAATCAACATGGTAAAGGAAAAATCTCATTTTGAAAAGGGAAAAATTAAGTATTTTTTAAAAACACCTTTAAGGGCTTTAAAAAAAGGAAAGTCGAAAATAAGCAGCTTCAAGTACTTTTTAAAAACGGTACGCACTCTGTAATAGTATTTTTTGTTTTTCCAACAATTTTGAAAAATTTTAGAACAGTTTTCATTGCGAAGAAAAAGGTTTTTTGCAATTTCTTTTAAATCTGTGATATTATTATCATTTATAGTTACACTTGGAAACCCCATTCTTTGACTTTGAATGAACGCATGAATCAGCAGATATTCTATCATAAAAAATTTTCTTTTTTAAATTTCTTCAACAAATACGGAGAAATTTGAGAATATACAATTAAACAGGAGATAGTGGTAAAATACAGGAGTTTTCGTTAAAAAACAGGAGACTTGGCATCATTACATTTATGTGATATTTTTAAACATCTAACTTCTGAGGGTAAAAAACTCCCTTTTTTTGTAACTTTGGTTGCAATTTTTATCTTGATGTTCGTTTACCTATTATCCAGAAAAATCATTGCTTCCGACTATGTTTAATTATATCCTATATAGGTGTCAATTTGTAATTATATATCTTAATTGCATGTTTGGCAGTTAGTGAACATAATATTTTGATAAAATTGGTGGCAACTAAAGAGGTTAGGAACCACTGCTTTAGAGTTAAATGTCAAAACATTTTGAGAATAAGTTTTCAACTGCACATAAGTCTTTCTTTTAATAATCCTTAAATTGGAACAGCTATAATGAATGATTTCTGAGTTAAGGATGAAAAATCAAAAATAATGCATTTGAATTTTAATATAGAGATAAAATTACAGAGAGAGGGAGAGAATGAGAGGGAGAGAGACATTCGTACCTGTTCAGAAATATTTGACTTTTTCATAGGATCAGGATCTTTTCCATCTAGCTTTAGTTTCACACGTTTCCAAACATTTGTTGCATAAGTGTTACGTTCTTGTACAGCTACAATAAATAAAAGTTTATCAATTAAAAGTATTTATGAATGTACTTAAGAGTAATATCAATAAAAGAGATAAACACAACTGTTGAACTGAACTGTGCTTTTAATTAATTTAAATTATTGAGGTAGGACTGCCTTTATGTTGCTATTCACTTAAAACAAATTGGTGGTTAAAAAAAGAACTTACCTTCAATTAATTATCATTATTATAATAATGATTTTCACTACCATACATTGATTTACTATCCTTTATTTTATCTTTCAACTCTACCAGTGTCATTATTTCGATTTTCAAGACTTGTTAGAAGTTTTGTCTTGTGTTAGAAGAAGATCTGTAGTATTGCACTCAAATTTATGTTTGCTCTTCAGAGGCAGATTATTTAGATGCAAATATGTGCCCTTACTTAATTTGTTCAACAACTTTTTTATTTGATTTGTCAATTATTAGATATTCTAACAAAAAAGGCAATTATTGTTATATTAATTTTACTGATTATTTCAAGATCGGTCATTTTTCACATAATAAGATTGTTGTTCAGCATGATACATCAAAGTTTATTTTAAATTAAATAAACACGAATGAAAATAAATATTTTATTTAGCAATGTAAATAAAATATTCGAATGAAAGAAGAAATTTTATGCGGTTTTAACATGATGCATTACAGCTCAAAGCTATAATTCAACAAAACATCAGAAAAAACAGTACTCGTAGATACTGTTACTGTATATACACTGTATTAAAAAATGTGGAGATTTTCAAACCTATGTAGTAAATACTGAAAAAGAAAGCAAAATTACTTAGATTGATGATGAAACTGTTAGAAATTAAGGGAATCAAAACTGATTAATAAAATACATGATTTTAAAATCCTACCAATAACTCATGGAAGAAGATGAAGGAAAAAAAAATCCCTTTGATTTGAGATGAAATCGGTACAAATAGAACGCACATTTAAATGCCCAATTCAAGTATTCATTAATGCATATTAAAAGATTTAGGACTTTCAAAACCATGAGAGAAAAGTTAAGTGCCAAAAAAATGATAAAAAAAAAAGCACAGATTTATGATAAAATGGACATCAACAAAAAGCATTAAAAGGGATAACTTAAATTCAAAATTCACGCATTGTAATTATGGGATGGTTAAAACTAAGGAAATTTGTAGGGTTTAAAAACTACATTAAATTAGAATTGTAGCGAGAATAATTATGAAGCAAATGAAGCTCTCTTCATGATATTGTTACATAAAAATCAAAAATTTATTCTTTTTGCCAAAGCAACAAAAGTAGCTTATTTAGCTTTCAGTAAATCTTGCTCAGTTAATACTGCATTGTAGCAGCATTGCTTTGAGGCAAAATAAGTATGCAGGGGTCTGTACAGACATTTTGTGAAAGATCCTGTTTTTGTAAAATTGTGAAAAATTTACTCATAATTTGTGACTATAAAATAAGCGTTAAGTCGCATTCTTTCAACCAGGGTCCTGCTTTTGTGAATTTGTGCAAATAGGGACCTGTTATTCTAAAAATTCCTAAAACCTTTTCAAGAAGCTTTTAAATTGTAAATAGATACAAGATTCTGCTATACAATTGCTGCTACTAAATTAGAGATGCAACATGCAAATAGTTGGTATTTAGCCTATACTGCTCAACACAGAATATTCATTTCGGATGAATAATGTAGAAACAAAATCATTCACATTTTTAATAATTTCAATTGACAGATTTTAAATAACACAACTTAGTTATGTATCACTTTTAATGTGTAACACATTAAGTAAATTTAAACAATTCTTAAATTCATACTATTTTATTTAAGAAGTTGCCAGAAATTAATGTTTATTTACATAATATTACATTAATTAATTTTATGAATAAATATAAATTGATTAAATATTTATTTACAAACAAAAAAAATCATTTAATATTAATAAGAATGTGCACATGTTTGTAAATATAGAAATATTTTCTTAGAATACCACATTTGGAATTTAAACTTGGAAAACTTAGTTCATTTCGAACCGTTTCCCCCCTCCCCTGGGAAGGGTTTATTCGATCAACAAAACAATAATGAAGATAAACAAATTTGTGAAGGGTCCGTTTTTATGAAAACATATTTTGTGAAGGCGATAAATGAGCAACACTTCCGGCATCTTCTAAGGCGAAGAACAAAAGTTCAGTGCCTGCTGTTATTAAAAAAAAAAAAAATTTGTGAAGGATCCGTTTATTTTACGAATCTAGACAAAATATGCTAAATAGGTTAATAAGTTCTCTCTGTATTACATGATTCACACAGTGAGATTGTAAAAAGAAAAGGTAGAGTTGAGTTAGTTTATCTTAAAAAATATTCTTCAATCATATGGAAGTTCCTGAATTCTCTTCCTCAGAAAAAAAGTTTCTTTTAAGGGTCTGCCCATTGATAGCTACCTCATACTTGAGAGCCTTTGCTGTTTCGTAGGTTACACAGTTCTTCACCGAACTTTAAAAGCTCTTCAAATATTAGTCTATCAAAAAACTTTCTACACTTTGTAGCATGTTTAGCAGCTAGATGGATTAGAATTCTTTTTCTTCATAACACATTGTCAGGGAACACTATCAATTTCACCTGTACCATCCGACTTTGGGGTTGTCTTAATTTTACTGCAAGTATCATCAAAGAATGTTACTACAAGAGGAAGAAGTTGGTCACCAGACGAATTGCTGCCGTCAGTCACTAAAGTAAACTCATAAAAGCCACACTCATCACGGCATACAAGTTGTTTTGCATAGTCAGCAACAGATAAAGGCAATCGTGCTGGATTAAAAAATTCACAAAGAGAGTTTCCGCTTTTATTACATTCTGGTTTTAATTTGCAGATCCTGAAAACATGTCTTTAATGCTTTTACTGGAGGAGGAATCGGCACCATTTGGTTCAATATCCCTCCGCTCGCATAAGCAAACAGTAATCTCGCGCGCAATCGTATTTGCAAATGCTGCAATAAACATTGTAAGATCACTTAGTGGAATGAGTAAATACAGTTCATTCTACTTAATATTCTTTCAGGTACATTTGTTAATGCTTTTTGGAAGACATGATCCTGTCTCCAATCAGTAACTAAAACTGGCGTAGGACACACGAAAAAGTAAACTCCGTATGCTTGTAAGAAACTATTCAAGAGAGAAGAAGAAACACACACTGCAGCTTCAATGGTGACGCCATTCGACCAGTTCTAGCTCAGCAGGTTGAGTGACATCAGCACTATACACAACGGCCAGAGCGTGGAGAAGAGAAACACCTGATGTGAAAGGGATATGACGCCAAAGACAGAAAAATATAAAAATTAGAAGCCTGTTTATTTTCCCCGGATAAAATCAATATCTTTGCAGCGTGCCCGGAGTACACTGGAATTTCTGGAGATCCTCCAGAAATTCCGGGGTAGTTACCTGGTATGTTTTTGGCAGATGTATGCACAGGTTTCAAAACCTCAAAGTCATAATATACCATGAATTTGAACATTTGAGTAATCACTTTTTGATCGATCCAATTACCAACAATTCCATGTAGTCTTTCGGTAGTTATAATTAGATTTCCCATGGTTTTCAAAATCTGTATGTTATGGTACAATATTATTTTGTTTGAGCCACTTACTCTGTTATTGACATATATCCACATAGCTTAATTTGCAAATTACTTTTTGATGAACTCAATTTTGCCGTGGCCTTAAAATTGAATTATTAACATTTATTGTTACAGATTTCCATATGGTTTTCAAAATTTCGTTTTTTGATATAATACTGTTACAATGAGTGAATTTGAATAATTACTTTATGACAAACTTTAATAGAGAAGATTTTATTTCGAGTCAGCAAATTTTCCAAAATACATAAGTTGTACACATTTTGAAACTGATTGCAAGATTTGTTTTTTTTTTTTTGGCGGTCGTATTCATTTTACGTTAAGTAAAAAATATGTCATTTTTATTCTCTGCCTCGTCATTGCAAAATACCGATCCTGTGATACACAAAATTTATGCTCATATAACAGTTGAAATAATAAGAAAGCAGAAAAAAAACAGAGGATTCTCCCTAGCTACAAAATTAATCAAACAAATTTCCAAGGGATATTTTGTTAATCTAAATGTTCTCCCTAGAGACTTTATTTTTAAGGATGCCCTGAACAAACATTTCATACACTGGTATACATCTCCTTTAATTTTAATGAAACAGTGAAAAACGAAACTGTTTCAATTCTAAAGGGCACAGCGACAGATTGTTCCCCCACTGAGTGTTAAAAAGTTTTTAAAATAGTTGAAAAGCGGAATTAAAATATTTGGGTTTTAAGTAAAATGCTATGTTGAAGTATAAATTCTACTTAGACTTTCACTTATAAATTTTGCTCACTTATCTGATTCTAAAGTGTTTGGCACTTAATTTTTTCAAGTCTCAACTTCTCTTACACTAGCGTGCAACAGTTTTTGCTCAACATGTGAAAGGCATTTTAAACCTTTCTATGCGTTTTTTTTTTGCAACGAAAATTTATTATTCTGTTAGAATTTTAAATTTCTGTCTTATTTAGTCAAGCCAACAGACACATATACATATATATATTACACTTGATTTCAGAATTTTTACTTTATTTGCAATTTAATGTAATCTTCCTTGCATTAACTTTAAATCTTTGCACTCAGTTCAGTTGAATATTTCTTTTTTTTCTTCATATAATTCAAGTCAATTCTTCAAAAATAAATGTCAATAATAAATTAAAGTTAAAATCACGATTTGCGTAAATAAATATGCAAAACTTATGCTTATTTGTTAAAATTGCATCTTTCAATTGTATTTTCATCCAATTCTTAGATGTAAAAGAAATCGCTTCACGAAAAACAAATATCCGACTGATATGAAAATTTTATTTGATTTAAAGTGACTTTCAAAGCGCTAACTTTGCTTTCTGACTGATACGCATATTGCTTTTTGATTGATACGCATATAATGTTTAGGAATCAAATTATACATTATTTATTACATTTCCATTCAACCATTTATAATATTGAGTTTGACCCAAGACTTCTGCACGCGAGTGTAGGTGCGGTCAAAATATCTGGAGAAATATTTCAGATATACACAATTACCTTTTCCCGTCCTTGGATCTCTTTTAACTTGTTTTTTAGGTGTTCCAACTCTTGGTGTTTTAGTGCGCATAGGTGAATAGCAAGAAAGTGTTTCATTTGTTGGAGACAACATATTCTTTGAAACCACAATTCTTTCTATAAAGAGAAAAACAAATATTTAGAATATGTTCATGGTGATAAAGATAAAATTTTTCAGTTATACGCTCATTGCAGGATTTCATTGAAGCAAAAACTAAAGCAGATTTTGCTTAAAAATTGACGTTTTTGTACTATTTCAAAATCTTGTAGGCATAATAGTAAGTTAACAATTACATCCAGTAGGGGACATAATATTACATCACTCTAAATAAAATTTCCTTTGAGATTCATTCAATAAATTTTTTTTACAAGATAATTATTTTTATTTCACCAAGAACTTCCCTAAAGTTGAAATTGCCTTTATTTGAAGTAAATAGTTAACTATTTATTGAATAGACATATCAAATAACAATAGAAAATGGAATGTAGGAACCTCTAAGATTGCAATCAATATTTACACAATTAAAAGAAAAAAAGATTCCTATTTCTAGGAAAATTCCTTGTTTCAAACGTCACTGTGGAGAGTGTCTCATAAGAAGAGACGAGTTTGGCAATGCGAATCTACCACAGTGTGAAATACATAGCTGGGGTCTGTCGAGGTTTTTCTGAGAGGTACCTATTTTGTGAGAATTTAGACATAATATGTGAAAATTAAAAATTATACATTAAAAAACTAACACAAAAATATGGTAAAAATTTTATCGTTTTTTTAAGGGATACAAAAATAAAATTTTAAGAAAAAGTATTTTGTGAAACTACCGTTTTTCACAAAGTTGAATTTGTGAAGGTACCGGAAAATGTTAGTAAATTTGTCCTGAACAGACCACTGCATAGGCATACTTAGTTCAAAATATAAGCTTGATAACGGCCAAAAAATAGATTTCTATTGCAGAGCGTTTTTCCTAATGATGAATTTGTGAAGGTACCGCTAAATGGTAGTAAATTTGTCCTGGACAGACCCCATGCATAGGCAGTTTGAAATATAAGCTTGATAACGGCCAAAAGATAGATTTCTATTGCTGATCTATGGGAAAATTCTTGGTTTCCAATGTCACAGCAGAAAATAAAAGAGCAGAGTCTAGGAAGGGGGCGGAGAATGGAGGTTTCAACCTCGCTATCGAAATTTACTCGAACACGAGATACATAAAATTACTTACAGTTCTAAACATACCTCTCATAAAGGCCAAATTTTGAGTTCTTGCCACACAAGAGTTAAACAAGGAAATTAGTCATTAGCCTCTGCAAACGAACTGAAGTGGGGAAACTCCACTCACTTCCAAACTGACTCGCTTGAAGAGAGGTCCCTCAAACTGAATTATCTTACTTTTAATCATCTGGTTTTTTATTATACATAAAATTTTCTTAAACTTAAGCTTTTATTCTTTATTTCCCATAATTTATTAGATTCATAATTTAATTCCTTTTTACTCATTAAATTTAATATAGCATGTGACTCTTAACTTCAAAGCACACACGGGCTATACATTTTATAATTTTTTAACTATTTGTTTGGTCATCTCGTTATTAGTCTCATTCAATTTTTGTTCTTTTTAGAAAACATCCTATTCTCCCCACAAAATTGTCTCCATTTTCCTTGAAAGAGGATAAATATATTGTCTCAGGTCTGCATAATACTCCCTTTTATAATTAAGATTTAATTAATTAAAAAAAATTACAGAAAGGGTAATATTGTTGAATACTTGCTTTGAAATATTGGATTATTCAAAAAACAACTATAGTTTCAGTTACATGTTTGTAATATAAATTAAAAAGTATTAAAATAAATGTTTTATAAAAAGTGTTTATTTCTGAATGCTGTTTTTCAAAAGCTTTTTATGTTTCTTTCCTCTATTTCCTTTACTATGATTACGTTAATAGAAAAAAAAATAATTGCATAATAATTATTTAATTAATTTTTTTCTTATAATCATAACATAGGGTAAACTAACCAGTGAAGGAACACTTAAGCTCCGCTTGCCTTCTAAAAAATCATATTAATTTCACAATTCGCAATTTTAGTTAAATGACAGTGTCAACATATTTGTTACTAATTGCAAATTATGTAAAACAATTGTAGAGAACTTACATAATTATTGTTTTAAAGTTTTGGAGGTTCAAATAACAAGTAGTAAGAAGACCAAGTGAAGGAACAGCTCTTACCAGTGAATGAACACTCAGTAAAGGAACACTTAATTTTGGTTATTTATTAATGCTCTTTATGAGTTTATAAGCCATACAAATATTTAAAAACAAGCCTATTCTTGAAATTATAACATATAAATACTTGGAAAATGTTAACTTTTTTTTGTAATCATGAATTGAAAATTAAAGTGTCAACATATTAACACATACTGTTCATTCACTGGGAAATCTATGCCCAGTAAAGGAACATGCCTGTTCCCTCACTGGTTAGAAGTTGTTTTTCGTATTTTTAACATACTTTTGATGCGGAACATCACTAAAGGTACAAGAAAATTAAAGTTTATCTTATATTTTCATTAACTTAGAAAAAAAAAACAGTAAAGGAACACTTGTTCCGTCACTGGTTTTTTATCGTTTGGTGATCCAGTGAATAAACACCCCCTTATTTCAGTACTTTATTATGCTATGATGCTTAAAAAAAATAAAACGTAACTTCAATAACTATATTTTGAATTCTCCTTTTCACAGTGAGAAAAAAAAACTATTACACGCAATTAATTCCACTTCAAACATGTAAATACAAACACTCACCTTATAATTTTTTCAAAGAAACAAGGTGTTGCAGAGATTATAATAAATTAAATTTTTTCTCCAGAGAAGTCTATTTGACCAGGTAATCTAAAACATTACTAGATGACTTCCTATTGTTAGGCAGTAAGCTATTGTTACCAATCAATCTAAAGAAAAACTTTCAAATTCTTATTTTTAATCAATATATATGAAATGTTCCTTCACTGGTTGGTTTACCCTATATGTATTCAAATCAAAACTTAAAAGCAATTGCCGATGCTAAAGTTCACTTTTTTAATTATAGTATATTTACTTTATTTAATCATTGTATATTTATTAATTTGGTTATCGAAAATAAATTTGTTTAATTTTCTTAAACAGTTATATGTTTCGAATGTCTACTTTTGTAAAATTTAGTCTCTTAATTTTTTATAATAGTTACTTTGTTATAAATATAACAAAGTGACGATTATAAGAACAGAGAGATCAAAATTATAAAATAAAATTTGAAATCTAATCCGGCGTTAGCCTTTACACTTTATACAGGGTGCTTTTTGAATAGATAAAAAAAAAAAATTCTCTATGAAGCAATTTTATACAAACATTTTAAGTTATCTTCCGCATTATGTCTCTTAAAAACGATCCCCCATTACTATAGAGATAACGATAGACGAAGAGGGATCATTTGAATGCTGTGAACGTTTTCCCGTAATAAAAAAGGAAAACATTGCATGTGAATAAAATGGAGAGATTCTTCATTGACTTTGCTTCTCTTGTGAGGGATGTTATAGGAAGTCGTTTAGGAATTTTTTAAAAAATGAGTAGTTTGACCAAATATTAAAAAATTCCATTTACAATGGGGGTGTTTGAATCCCCTCCTTTACATACGTTCTTGAAATCTTAGATGGTTCCATATTATCTGACGTCGATCGCAAGCTAGCAGCATTGTGTCAGAAAAGTTAAAAAAAAAAAACCTGAATGGTCTTTGAAACACCTAGAACTACTTTTCGCATTATAAATTTCAGACTTTCAGTTCATCCGTGGCAATTGATTAATTCTTGTCGAAAGTAGCCATCACTTCATTTCTTTTTGGCTTCTGTGTTTTCAAAGTTAATTTAAATTTGTTTCCTTGTTATAAATCTGCACAGAATAAAAAAATCACTTCACACAACATGAACGAGAACTCCCCCCCCCCCAAAAAAAAGGGATTTCAATATTGAGGAATAAATATTTAGTTAATCAGATTTCGTGCAAGCTATGTCCTCAAAATTTTAAATCAGAAGTACTGAGACTTGCAGAATTCCGAAAATTAGCGGGAAAACTACTTGCCACCCAATAACGTAATGTAGATTGTGGACATGGTGAGCTTGGCATCATTACACATATGTGTATCAAAAAGTCAAATTCCCATTTTTATACAAAACTGGCCAAAACAATACTTCTCTTGTCAGTTTGTATTACCATTTTTCATATATATACACATGTATTTTATTTGGCACAGGTGTGGGACCCCTGATTCCGAGTGCATTTTTATGATAAAGTAATGTGAGTGGTCACATTAAAGTGCAATTTAATCATAAACAAATATCATATTTGCAAGCTTTAAAAGCATATTACTCAGTTAAAATAAAAAGTCTAGCAAGTCTAATAATTTTTGAGAAAATAAGTATATATAATACATTCTCTCTAATTTTCAATAATCGTCATTAGTTTAAAAAAGTTTCTTAAAAGTTAAAAACTGGAAGTTACGGGTGTAACACAATGATATGTCTGTAATAACTGATTTAAATTTCTTAAGGTTTCTAAAAATTAGAGTAAGAGTTAATGGCACAAAGACTTATTTACACTACAGATTTGCTTAATTCTGCAAATAAGTAGAATAATCACATGCCTGAAGGGAAAAAATATTCCAAAAGGCTATCACGATGATAGCCAGAATGTATTTCTTATATGAAATAAAAGTAGGCCTCAACATATTTTCTGTAAATACTGACAACAATAATCCTTTAGTTTTCCATTTCAGTATAGAAAGTCTAGTTAAAAATTTTTTTTTTTAAAATTGACATTAAAAGAAGCACTTCATTTCACAGTTGGGAAATCAGTGTGATGATGCTGATCAACGGAAAGTTCAGCAATTCTAATTTAATTTCATGTTTGAGAACAAAAACTTGTAAGAAAGGTAATGAATTTTTTTGAAGAAAAATGAATAGGTTTCATGTTAGTGTAGAGACATACCCATTTGTCCATGCTTCCTATCTCCTATTGGACCAGCCAAATCAATCAACTGGTTGTATATCTCAGCTGCATTCACAGTTAGGATGGGAATTTCCTCTTCAACAGAGCAAGAAAGAAGATCCAAATCTTGGGAGTCACCGAGAAGGCTGCTCACAATGGATGAAATACGTTCAGAGAACTCCTTGTATAGGGCCATGTAACCATGAATTTCTCCTTCACACTTGAACTCCGCACCAAGTATTTGCTCTTCATTCTAAACAACAAGTCTTATGTCAATTCCTCAGCGTGTGAAAAAACATATTTCATCAAAGAATAACAATTTTGTAACCCCTATCATTATCAAGTCTTTCTAATTCCTGTTCTCTCTCTCTCTCTCAAAAAAAAAAGAACTATTGAAAAGAAAATTACGAGAGAAAAATATTTAAGCAATGATAAGTGCAATTTAAATAAAAAATATTCACTGATGAATTAATTATTCTAATTGTTGTTGTCTCTCTAAAAAAGTCCTGCAGTGGACTGATCGCCAAGACAGGGTTCCCAGCAGATCACCGAAGTCAAGCATCACTGGCTGTGGTCAGTGCGTGGGTGGGTGACCACTCTGATCAGACTGCGTAGGGAATGAGGGTGTGCTGCATTGGTCCTCGTTAAACTGTTCTACGGTAAAGTGGATCATAATTGTGATGTGTGTGTGTGTGTGAACAGAGGATCAAAATTGTGATGGCATGTCTCCGGATCAACATCAAGGATGTTTTCCAGACGGTCGCCAATAGCTCATTTTGCAGCTCTAGTGCGACGTAAATTAACTACAACTCTCTAAAAAAAGAAAACGAATTTTTGAAAAGAAAATTATGAGAGAAAAATATTTTAGCAATGATTAGTGTTATTTAAAAAAAAAATATTTACCGATGAAATTTATTTTATTTACACATTTTCATAATTATATATACATTTTAACTAATAGTGATATACATTTTCGCTAATAGTGAATAGAAGATAGTATTACACTGATAAATATTATACAGTATTCCACAAATAAAATTATTGCTTTTAACGTAAGGTCAATGGATCATGCTCTGTTGATTCAGGAAAATTACGATTTACAAAATGTATGTTACAAAGAATTATTAATTTATTTGGCTAGATAGGGTCAAATACCTGGTTTTGTATTTGTCTAAAGAAAATTTTTTATTATGCAAAAAATAATTTTTAGATAATAAAAAAGGATTTCAAATGTACAACTAAATAAAATTATCTCTTTATATTCTGTTTTGGGGCATTCAACTGAATGTTTGCACAAAAACTATATAACTTAGAAACAAAAGGTGTGCAGAAAAATATACAAAATTAACGTTTAATTTAAATTGCGTCATGCCATATTTATTTTTACTATCCATTTGTTTGAAAATTATTGAAATTTTAACTGCCTTTTTTTTTTAGATAAGTGCACTTTGCTTTGCAGCACAAAATCCACCAGAAACTTGATATTACAAAGGTATAATGATAGAATTCAACAAATATTGACTATTAATGTTGCATTCTGTAGTGCGCTGAAATGCAATGACGGAGTTATAATTTGACATGTATAAAAAGTAATTCTTATTAGTGGACTTAATACAACTTTTGTTTCGAAATTAAAATTTGTTTGAAAGTAACAGCAAATTTCAATTCTTTTTCCTGATTTTTTTCTACCTTCTTCCTCACAAGATCTTTCTTGAGTAAATGTTGATAAAAATTAGCAAAAAATAAATAAATAAATAAAATAAAAAACAGAGAGAGAGAGAGAGATTACGATTATGCGTTGCCAGATATAAATCTTAGCATTTATAATGAAATGTTAAAAAAAAAACTAAATAAAAGCAATAAGAATTATTCCCTTATTGAATTGTTATAAGTTTTGATAACCTGTAAAATTACTTTCCATTTATTTCTTATTATTGAGTAACACATTCTGAGTTCTATAGGTTTAACTTTTATTAAGTTCCAGCTTAAAACTTCAGGGGAAAAAAAGACTTTAGGACTAAATATTTAAAAAAAATAAAAGAGGTATATATTATTACTTACTTTGGCAAGATTTCTTAAAATATGCCTCACTTCAGACATTAATTTATGATGTACAGAAATAAGGTCATGAACTACAGTGACTTGTTGATGCAAGGATTCCTAAAGGAAAAAAAACAATTTCTCTATCAGTTGATGATAGCTTTTTAATCAAAGCTTTGATACTTATTCATTCGAAAACAGCTAAATTAGAGTCTATGATATTATAGCTTTCCAACACAAATGGTTCAATTGTTATTTAACTGCTACACTGAATAAAGTTTTAATTTTTGCTCAAGCTCAACACCCTCATTAATTGGAATTAACATTTATACACTAACTAAAGATTTAATAAGCGTTAAAAATACTTGTATTGAAATAAATTTAAAACTAAATGGGTATGATTTTATAGTAAAAACATATTATTTGACATACAGGTGAGGTAAAATTATAACTTGTATGTTTCATGCCACTTTGATCATTTATTCATTGTTTTATTTTGAACAATCACAGAAATCCCGTTAACTTTTAACATAGCGTTTATAATTAAATTACTCCAAATGAAGAATATCACACCTTTAGAGTAACTAATTAAAGAATTTGTACAATATTGGAATTTAAAAATAGCTTGAATATGAAACAAGATATTAGAGTTTAAAAAAACATGTGAATATGAATAGCGATATTGAATTTTAAAATCGTGCGGATATGAATTGCAATATTGGATTTTAAAACCGCAAAAATATAAGTTGTAATATTGAATTTTAAATCAATTAGGTTCTTTTTTTATTCTTTGTAATTTTTATACTTCTTTTAATTGTCTGAAAAAGTTTAAGTTATTACTTATAATTATTAAAAAAAAAAAATCTTCTCAGAAATAAAAATTAAAAAACATTGATTTTTTAAATGAATTCTTTAATCTATTTTTAAACAACAAAATCAGTTAATTTTTAAATTTTTTTTTTTACAATTTATAATTATTCACAATAAAAGCATTATTCATGCTAAGAGCATTATTCACAATAAAATGAATAGATTTTTAATGCCATTTGTTTCAGAAAATTTGTATACTCATTGGTTGGAGTTTATATATGTTATGAAGTATTTACCCAGCAAGCAGCTGCAACAGACTTTTGTTGCTCTAGTTTTTCACGACATGTTGTGAGTGAGAGAGAGACTTTTTTGATGACAGAAGTCAACCAATCTGTTGTAACACCTTCTTTATCCAGAGGCTATAAAAGGAGAGACATGTCACATTTTGCAAAACATAATATCAGTTAATTAGGGTGCATAGCAAAATCTTTCAACAAAAAATAAGCACCCAGTTAATAAATAAGCCGTGTTAGGGAAATGTAATAAAAAAAAACTATATACATTAGCAAAATGCAAACCAATGTTCAAACACTTTATGTGATCATGATAAAATAACTACAGTGTAACGTCCCATTTCCGAAATGGTCGATTTCCCGGATGCTTTTTAACGATCAAAATAAACCAACATCTCTTCATCTTCCTCTGTCTTGAAAAAAAAGAGGTATTTTAACACGATTTTTCCTTTTCTAGCTTCTAGTGATTTATGCATTGAACCCATAAATCACCAAAAAGGGGAAGAGAAGATCTACCAAGACCATCGAGTGACCGTTAGTGATGCTCCTTTCCTGGAATGCAAGAAAAGAGGGAGATTTGTTTTTTTAAAGAGCGCAACTGAGCCCCTTCCCCCTTTCTTTCCTATGCAGCTGGCTAGTAAAAGAGGCATTTCATGGAACCGTTTTATTAGTGTTAGGGAAAAAAGAAATACTGTGGAAAAGGGTAAACTCTGCAAACGTTAACGAGGAGGGGGAGTCAAAATGAAAAATTTGAATAGGTTTAAAACAGTGGTTTCCATCTGGCGGCCCGTGAAGCCTTTTTTCGTGGCCCACGAATCAAAATATATTAGTTGTCATTTTTTTGAGGACAATTTTGGTAGAAAATCTTTATGGGTTTTAAATACTTTTACGTTTTATATCTTAACAATTTGATATCTGTTTAATATATAGGTTTATATATTAAACATAGATTTGTTTAATATATAGGAGCACATTAAAGTTATTGTAGTCAGAATTTTTTAATATGCAATTAAATATTTTTAAAAATCTACTTCTTATTTTAATTTATAATTCAATACTTTTGTTTTGTATAACTTGATAAAAATCTGAGAGTAATATTTAATGTTCCTTCAAACATAAAAGAGTCCTATATAAAATTTCGATGAAGTTGCGGCCCGCCATTTGACCGGTGCTTTTAATTGCGGCCCCTGGCCTCATGCAAGTTGAAAACCCCTGGTCTAAAAGGATACACGTCCTTGAGAAGCATTGATTCTTTCCCTGACCATGCAATATTTAGGAGGCGGTAAAAAAGGGGGAACATTCTTTCTTTAGCATTGACATGAAAAAGATTTCAATGAACTGAAATATGAACAGTAAATTTGATTCTACTGAAATATGAATTAGACTAAACGAAAGTTCCTTTATTCCAAACCAAGAATGAAGCCTGAAATTGAGAATATCTTGAAAAATGCAGCAGAGTTGCGCATGATACAGTATGGGACCCCTAATCCGGCATCCCGAAATTCGGCACTTAATCCGACCTAATATTTGTTTTCTTTCTAAAGAAATTTTTATTGATACGAGAAAAAAAAAGTTATATTCTCTTTTTATTTGGAATTTTTTCTCTTGAAGTAAGTAATTATATTTTATCTTTTAAAAAGAAAAAAAAGCATGAAAAAAAATTAAATCTGTGTCAAACAAAATGTCTGCTCCTAAAGCAGTTTAAAATAAAGTGAAATTGAAAAATAAAAACATCTGCATTTTCAATGAACAAAATAAAGAAATGCAAGTTAGGAGAAACTGATCAATAAATCTTGACAGCTGTGCAAGAGCTTTACTGGTTTGTCCCCATATTTCCCTCTCCGGTTTGACCATAAATTGTCCACACCCTGTTGAGATTGAAACTACCATGTGGTGTACAAAATGAATGCTATCCCTTTTGCTTTTTTTTATTCAATTTATCTACCTTTTTTTTTGTTATTAACTGTTACTTTTTTTGTTAATTGTTACTTTTTTTTTTAATCCTTCTTAGTTGTTTGCTTCTTTTTTGTAGTTATTCATTGTTAGCTTTCTTTCTTTTTTTTAGCGAGGTGAGTGTCTTTTGTTAAAATAAAATGTAAAGAAAAAAATGAGAGCAATGATCTTACGCGGAAGAAAAAACGATTATTTCTTTTTCGGAGGATTCGAATTATTTAATCTTGAATTATTTCTTCTTTGGATTATTTCTCCCTGATTATATTATATAGATTATTATTTTTATTAATGAAATTTCTTAAGATGGAACAGTTTTAAACTCACCCCATCATAATCTACAATCGGAACTTAGCTAAATTTATTGGTTTTTCTGAAATTAACAGCATATTTGAATTATCGTAATATATGGGGGCCATATTGGAATTTTCGGAAGAATTTCCAGATTTCGGGTCCTATACTGTAGTGCAATAATCATACCCAACCAACTCAGTAGACACACATGCGGACTACTAGGTATTTCATCAAACTTGTAAAATGATTGGCGCTTTCATACGCTATGGACCGACGGTACGCCGAAATAGATTGTGGCTGAATGAATCATGAAAACGTTGTTAATGTGAAAAGAACGCTATAGCATAATACAGGTCGAAAATTGACGGACGAAAATCGACAAGTTAAAGATAATGTCATTTTCGAAAAGGGAAAATTAAGCACTTTTTAAAAACACCCAATGGGCTTTTAAAAAACGAAAATAAGCACCTTTAAGTACTTTTTAAAAATGCTATGCACCATGTAAATTATAATTCAACATACCTTCAATGATATAAGATGTTCTTCAATAACACTTATTTGGCTTTGGCAACTTTCTGACAATTCACATGTTTCTTTACACCTGTTGAGTAAAGTCATAAAGGAAGTATCCGATGACAATGCTTCAGTAGTTCTTGTTCTTAAAGCTTCAAAGTGAAGTATAGCATTACAAACATTCACTAATTCTCTAGACACTTGATTGGCTTTCTGTAAATAACAACTTAATTAAAATACACCAGAGACTTTTCGTAATCCGACAGCCTATTAAACAAAAAAATCAATCCTCCATAAATTTAATTTATTTATACAACTATTTTTATTTCTAAAAATTACAAAATAATTTATTATTTTGAAACAGATAGAACAATAGATTAAGTATTTTCTAAAAACGTTATACAAAACTTTTTCTGCAACTCTTTTATTCTGGCAATCAGAAAATAATAATAATAATTTATGCATACCAGTTAACATTGGGTCAAAGGTAATATTAACATTTTAAATAATTAATAATTATAGTAAAAGACAATATTAGAACCAAAAAAAAAAAATGTGTTAAAGAAAAATTTACCTGTTATTAACCAGGGTTGCCACTCAAATCTGAAAAAAAAAAATTCCCTGTGTTTCCCCTGTACACATTATACACAATATATTAAGAGGAAACAATTATCGAGCTCTTGTGTGAGCTATATTGGGCTAACTATATATATTAGTTTTAATTGCTAGAAAAACAGCTGAACATACTTAAGTAATGCAATAGTAAATGAAATAGCTTCGTATAGCTGAAATATCATGGTTAAATATCCTATAGATTATGCTTTGAGTAGTCATCATTTTTTAAAAGACAAAAGTATGAAACAAAATTCCCTGTATTTTTCCAGTTTGTAAAGAAAAAATCCAAATTCCCTGCATTTTCCAGGTTTTCCCTGTTGAGTGGCAACCCTGTTAACAGGCAACTCAATAGCAGGTAAATTTCTCTTTAACACCTTTTTTATAAAAAAATATTTACAGAAGCAATATTTTATTATAATCCAGTTGAAGGGAATAAATGATTGGTTTGTAACAATTAACAAGTTTTGAAACATTTTAGTGCAGGTGCTTATTCCAGACAATAAGCGGAGATAAATCTCCAGTTGACTATAGGCATTTAAATTTAAATTGTAAGTTAATTAAAGACCCTGCCTGTAACTGATATTCTATATTATCTTTAGTTTTTATAAAGTAAAAAATGGTTTATTGCATGTACAGGTTATAGTACATAGTGGTCAATATCAATTATGCCTTTATATTGGTCCTTTAACTTTTATGTGTATCAAAGGTATTGCTTCAGCAAATCTTAGTAATTGGCCTCCTTCCTAAGGGCATCCCTTTTCAGTTTCAAACTAATAAAAAAACTGAATGAAACTGATTCAGAAACTAAATTTCCCAAAAAGCCTGATTTAAGTTATCAAAATTATCCTACCTAGTTTAGAGACAGTCCTACTTCAAAAATCTATATATGATAATCAATTTCATCGTGCGTCAAATAAAACATCCTAGAAGGAAGGAAATATATACCAGTTTTAAACTTGAAGTACTTGCAGTTGTAGAATGACTTTTCTCTAACATCCGGACTCTTACACCCAGTTCGTCAGAAACAATTTTCCAAAAAAAAAAAAAAAAANCCTGGGTGACAGAGCAAGACTCTGTCTCAAAAAAAAAAAAAAAAAAAAAAAAAAAGATTAAAAAAAAATTTTAATGTAAGAGTGCAAAGCCGCAACTGTACTTCAACAATGAAGCAGTAGATGAAGAGGTAGGGGTGAGGAGTGAATGAAAACTCGTAGCTGATAAGGAAATTTCAGTCATTCTTATCAGCTCTGTATAGATAACAAGGAATATAGAGAGGATTCCCCTCTATATTCTTCAATATAGAGGGGATTCTTCCGTAGATAAGACATGCTTTCTATATTCTTCCATAGATAAGACATGCAGGATTAGGAATTCTTCGACCACCTTGTTTTTCTCCCTTGCGAAGAAAGAAAACTGGTTCCTTCTTAACCTTGAAGCATAGGAGGTGGGGTCAAGTTCTTTCATAGCCCAACAAAAAATAAGGATTAGTATCAGCTGGTACAGTCTAGTCTAGAAGCATCTGTTTCAGTTATAAGTTGAAATTCAGCTCTCGTTTTAAGCCTATATTTTTTAGTTTTAATTGCTATTATGTTATCTAACTGATCGATTACGGGGGAAAATGACGAAAGTTTGATTTTTAATGTCTCATATTTATTATTTAAAGTGTATATTTATGTTAAGTTGTTAAAATTGACGTCGGAAGTCTACACATGCGCGTTTAATCGCGAAAAAAGTATTTATTTTTAAATGCTTATCAAGAATAGAAACAACATTATAGAGAATGAATGGCATACCGTGACAGAAGTAGTCTTATTAGCAATAGCACTCTCAAACTCTTCCTGTATGGTACTCAGAGAAGGATTTGCTCCAGCAGCCCATTTTAATCTTTGTTCAATTCCTCCAATCAGATTCAAATAACGTTCTTCAGCACTACTCACAATACAATCTAAGGCAACTAAAGTGCTCACAGTCTAAAGAGAAACAATATTTTCAGTTCAATTAACAAAGAAAACTAAGTCTGAATACTCTAATAAAGTTTTGATTTACTGCCACACACATCTACAGTAAAAATTGACAATGTAAAACTCTAATAATAGCTTCAATAAATTTACTTTTCCATAATTTACTTTACATTCAATCAAGAAACATAAAGTTCGGTCATTTGACTGGCTATGGTAGAAATAGGTATTTACTAAATGTTGGTATGTTTAGTGTTAAATGAAATCCTCCCGACTCTTTTTTGAGTTTCAATGGCAAGTAAGAAAGGCTTCACATTAAAAAAAAAAAAAAATTTTCCTTAACTTTTCCACATAGATTTGCATAAAATTCCAGAGATTTTGGTTAATAAAAATGCAAATTAGAAATATAAAACGAAATCGCAACTTTAAGAAAGCATTTATAAATTACTTTTACTAAAAAAACAAAACAAAAAAAAACAGGTGATTTAAATTATGCCAACTCTGATTAGGAATAATAAATAGTCAGAGCTAGAAACGTAACTGAATGGCAAAATAAGATTAAAGGAATTTACAGGGCAGTATTCTTTTTTTCTTCTTTCCTTTAGAAGAAAAAAAAAGAAAACATTTTTTTTTATAAGTACAAATCTGTTGCACGAAAAAAATATTAATCTGTGTATAATCAAAGTTAAATTGTATTTAATCAATGTAAAAACATTTCAGGAACAAAAATGCAATTAACATTTAAAAACAAATACATTAGCATTAGTTATGGTACTTAACTAAGCAATACCAATTTAAAAAGAAAATAATTAAAAAAAAAATTTATAGCACAAATTATTATATAATCCATCCTAAAAAGAAACTAACAAATATATAAAACAATTCAGATTTAATTAAAATTAAATATTTATTAAAATAGAATAAATAACGAAAAATAATGCTTCTTTTTATCAACAGACAAGCAAAAAAATAAACCATAAAAATGCAATTATTATAATCCTTAGCTATAAATTAAATTATATTAAAAGATGAAACAAAGGTGTAAGAAAATGAAAAATAAAGAGAGAAATTAAGCAATAAAATAAAACAACTTTTCAAGAAAATCATCCTAAAATAATAATAAAAAATATACATTAATCTGTATATAATTAAAATTAAATGGTATTTAATCAACTGACAAATGTTTTTTAGAGTAGAAGGAAAAGAAATGGAAACAAAAAATTGCAAAATGTTAAGATTTTCTGCTTAAAAAAAAAAAAGAAACTGAAACATAAAGATGGATAAATAGATAGAAAAAAATATGTAAATTGAGATGGTAAAACTGTGAAATTAATAAAAAAGAAATGAAAAAAAAAACATTTATTTTAATGTGATAAATACCAAATCAACACAAACAGAATCTAACAAATATAGAAGTTAATTGAGGTTAAGCCAAATTTTAATATACTAAATAAAACCAAAAATAATATAAAATAAAATCAAAGATTAAAAAATTGTAATATACTTTGTACCTCATACGTAATTATATTTCATGCTCTTCTATTTCATAACTAAAAGCTGTATACTGCTTTTAGTTAGAAAGCTTGCATTAATAAAAAATCTTTTGCTTTTATTTTTAGAATATTTTCAGACTATTTTTAACAAAAACAGATGTAATTCCAGATGATACAATTTCCGAGGAATTTATTTAATTAAAAAATATTACTTTTTTTAATAGATATCAAATAAATGTTAAGGAATGGAAAACGGAATAGTGAAATTCCCCAATTTGAAAGGGTGACAAATTCTTCGACAATCTCCGGTTTTGGGTAAAATTACGTCCCCCCCCCCCCGACTTTCATTTCGATTCTCGTTTTTTGTTGTTGACAATTTCGGTTTCGTCCGATATTCCGTACAAAATCGGATTTTTACAGTCAGAGTTTAGTTGTTAGAGTTCTGAATAGTATACAATAGAGTAAATAAGAAAGATGATAAATTATATTTTTACTTTTATCATTAATAAAACTTTTTAACTTAATATATAAATATGTTTCAATGTAGCATATTGTTTATTCATAATTAATCAAGGTGCATAGCCAAATCTTTAAACAAAAAATAAGCACCTTTTAGGTATTTTTTAAGCACTCAGAAAATATTTTTAAGCACGATATACATTAACAAAATGCAAAATAATTTTCAAAGACTTTACATGATCATGATAAAATAACTAGTTTCTGACAAAACACCATTTTCTTGACTATATTAGCCACCATAAAAAATTGAAGATTTTTCGGTTCGATTTCAGTGGGTAGAAAATGAAGACTGAAATTGAGAATATTTTGCAAAATGCAGCAGAATTACACATAAGGGTGCTAAAATCTCACCAACTTCTGCTCAGAAGACGAACATGCAGACCTGCAAGTACTTCATCAAACATGTAAAATGATTGACGCTTTCATACGTTATGGACTGACGGTAGGGGAAAATGGATTGTGATTGAATGAATTATGAAAATGTTGAATAGAACAATGTGAAAAGCACGATTTTGCAGCATACGTGGTGTAAATCGATACGGTGAAGAAGAAAAAAATCACAGTTTCGAAAAGGGATAATTAAGTACTTTTTAAAAACACCTAATGAGAAAAGTACCTTTAGGGCTTTTAAAAAACAAAAATCGAAAAGAAGTACCTTTAAGCACTTTTTAAAAACGCTACACACCATGTTAATGTTATGATTTAATGCTATTGATAAAACCTTTAATTGAATGTTAGATAAATTTAAAATTACGCAGTGCTGCTATCCGGCGATGGGATTAGTAAGCTTTTACAAATAGTTAGTAGCACTTATAGATTGTTAATGTTACTTTTCAAAAGAGAGATAATAATGTATAATAATATTTAATATAAAAATAAGTTAATGTGCTATATTATTTCCATTATAAAACCTCTTTTCTAAGAGTTTTTGGACCAATACATTTAAAAATATTTCCTATATATCCCTATAAAAATTGCATGAAAATACATTAACCTAAAATTGAAGTCATTTAAGCAAAAAGGGCGTATTACTTTTCGTATTTCAGACATAATGGAAGTCCTGGATGATGGATTTTGAAGAACACCTATGTTGGCTTGCAATATTAAATCTTCATTAAGCCACTGAAAACGAGCAAATTGCAATTGAGCTCTTTGTTGGCTATTTCTACCAATCAACAGATACTGTTCCATTCGCCTGTAAATAATGACATAAATTAAATTTGCCCACAATTTTTTCATCTTTATTTGCCTCCACAGCAATCACAGTTGCCAATCCATAGATTTTACGAAATGATATTTTACATATAGTGAATTTTACTGTTATCAAAATACAAAAACTTTATTACACTAATGGAGCCTACAATATTTTCGATTTATGACTGACATTAAATTAATTTTATGAAACTACCTCATAATTTTAAATAATAGTCATTACTGAAAATTAAAAGATTTTATAATTTAAAAACTGAAACTTTTACAGCGAAGAAAATGATGCCTTACACTGATTACTGTAAATAAAACTCACTTCATTATGTATTTGTAATACTTACTTAAATATTCAAGAAAGCAAATTGTGTAAAAATTCTATTTCAATATGCAGCCTTTTTTTCAAAAACTTATTCAATTTTAGGGAATTTTTTAACATGTACTAATGTACCAGGAGAATTTTTATATCAGGAGGCACTGCAAAATCCAGCAAAATGAATAATATGCAGCTATGAATAATAAATACAATTAAATGAATTTTCATTCAAAATTTAAATACTTAGAGCTCCTTAATGATGCCTTATTATTAAGTTGTTGTTGAATGACGTTTTTCAGGGAAGCAGAGAAGATCCTTGCTTAAAAAATAAATGAATATTCAAAAAACTATTAACAAGGCAATGATATTCAATTTTATGCCTATACTTATTCAAAGGATATGTTTTAGTAGAATTCAAATGACTCATGAAATTTCGCTATATTTATATTCAGACTATGCAGTATATACCTTCCTACATTACATATCTAAATAATTTTTCTCTCAATACACTGTTCTTGCCTTTCTTTATTTCAGTCAGAAAATTTACACTTTTACATTTTGTTTCTTCTAAACATGTAAATAAGATTGAAACACTTAAATTATAGCCAGACATGTGAAATATTTTTTTCAACATGTATTTTTTTTTTGTCCATGAGACTCTAAATAGTGAATACTTAGGTGCACAAATGAATTTTCTGTATCATAATTATATCGGGATTATAAATATATATATAAAAAGCAAATAAGAAAAGCGAAAAAAAGAAAAGAAAAAAGATTGAAACGTTGCACGGATATAGTGCAAATCAAGTGCATAAAAAAATAATGACTCAAATGTGAAATTTAAATTTTGGGTGTCGTAATAATATCGAAATTTTAAAAATCATGAGAATATCATTTGCTGCAAAATAAATAAAATGGAACAGTGGATTCAGGATGGAACTGAGCAAATTAAAAAGTTATTATTCAAATGCACAATTCGAAATTTGCATGTCGTAATATCATATTAGAAATTAAATCTATCTAATTGTAGCACAATAAAAAAGGGGGTATTGATTAAATAATTCTTCTGTTATAAATCCAATTTGCTCAAAAATGGCTACTCATTAAGAAATAAGTTCTTCTTTTTCTTGAAAAAAAAAGGGAGAAAAATACAATTCTTTTTGACCGAATGATCTTTTAAATGGTTGAAAATTACTTTTTATATTATTAATTCTATACTTTTGTGTTTGTTCTAACAAATCCGTGCTTAAAAAAAAAGTTATTGCATGTGAAGAAATACAGAGGGTAAGGATGGAATTAACGTCCTGTTAACAAGATTTTGCATACGTAACAGAATTCATATTTTTGAAATTAAGAAACTTAATTGATTCCCGGAAGTCCGCATATTGAGATTCGCATCAACAATTTATGAAATAATGAATTTGTTTAGCCAAGTGAGACAGCAATAATTAAGAAAAATTAAAATAAGCTACCTGGATAAATCTTCCTTATGCCAAGCTGCGTCAAAAGCATTGAGTAAGGAATTCAAAGGTAATATCTGTGAATCCAAGTAATGTTCTGAAACGCATTTATTGTAAACACGATGTACAATATCATCTATCGACAAATCCATTTCTTGTAGTTGAGCATCAGATGTCAAATCTAATCCTAAGCATTTCATTAGAGCACAGAGGACGAATCCCGAAACTTGAGAAGGCAAGCCAAGTAGCTGCAAGGAAATTTTACATTACTCATTTAGAAACACCCTTCAGTCAAAATGATTTATTTATTATAGGCAGTAAATCTCCTAGAACTATTTTTCATTTCATTTTTAAAAAGCAAACAAATAAATAGGAGAAAACACCTCATTTCAAATAGAATAGAGATCAAAATGCTGAATTAAGAACAAAAATGAAAACATTTCTGTGTCTTCATCAGAGGCTAAATTGTATAAGGACTTGCAGCATTATTGCATAAAATGCAACTTAAATTTAAACTTGTTTAAGGATCTTCCATTTGCAAATTTTACATTTATGTTAGATTAAGCAGAAATATTTCTGTTCAAAGAGACAAATTATAAAGATTCTGCTACCTGGATTATAAATTTAATGCGTTCTGTTGCCAGTGTATCTACTTACACAGACAGGTTTAATTATGTTGAGTATGGTACAATGCAAGAATGCCAGAGGTCGTACGGGACGGCAGTCGACCAACGTACGAGGGTGAAAAGATCATTCCGCTGTTTCGTGGTCAAGACTTGTGCTTGGTCTTTCAATTACAGTTAGAGTTTGAAGGATTCTTTGGATTAAATGGCACAAAACTCAAGCAAAGGTCAGGCATGTTCACATTGATGCACTATTAGAAGAGGACTAGAACAGATCTCCTGATTTTAGAGTAGGACATTCATGACTAGAGCTAATTTTAGAGCTGGGCATTCGTACTCTAGGACATTCAGGAATCACCAGTGCGTTCTACCGATTTTACCTTGACATCTACAAAGATTGTTAATTTGTTTAATATCCAGAGATATGAAATGGGTTGTTGAAGTATGATATGATGCAAGAGATCTGAATGATCAACTAACACAACCTGCATTCCCCATAAAAGAAACTCACATTTTAACATTAATACATTTTTCAGGTAACATATGGGAAGAAAAAAACATTTTGCAATGAGCCATACACAGCAAAATGGCCAAAAATCAATAATCTGCAAATCAGAGTTCTGTAATAATGTTCATAAGAGGCGAAATCGGGCAGAAATTACTGAGGGAGGTTATTGCAGAATTGTACATTGATAAAACTGATTTTAATCTAACAACAAACTTGTGTATTGATTGAATGTAGGGTTTAGTGGCACAAGGTCCAAATGAGGACATGCTGCTCCAAACAATATGGTAAAACAGTTCAAACGCCTAAGGGCATGCAAAATGTTAACTGTAGCACAATTATAACTAATAAAAGAATACTAAGGGAATAAAACAAGATAAATTGTATGAGTAAAATCAGATAAAAAGTATGAATACAGTATAAAATGCACGAAGTAAGTAAAATGTACGAAGGTGATAAGATATTTACAAGAGTGTATAAAACAGTAGATGCGTTAAAACTTTTATATGCAGTTAAAAATACCAAACGGCACGTAAAAATGTTAGGATAGTGAATGTCATCCAACAAATCTTGCATGCATAAAATAGAACTCCCAAAAAACTTTAAACGATGTTGATTAAAATATGGACACTTTATTAAAATATGATGAATTGTGAGAGGAACGTTACAAGTAATGCATTCTGGAAAAGGCTCTCCAAACAGCAAATGGAGGTGTGTTAACCGGGTGTGACCGATTCGGAGGTGGGTGAACTTTACGTCAACTCTGCGCAAGCGCAGCACTGGCAAATTGTCTAATTCAGATTTAATGCTATGCAATTTATTAAAAACTTTGAGGCCCCATTGTTGTTGCCATATTGATGTTAAAATTTTTTGAATGTGTAGTTTCACATCGGCGAAAGGTACGGACAATGTTAAGAAAGATGTGGCAGATCGTGCAGCTGAGTCAGCTAGCTCATTCCCTGGAATACCAACATGACTTGATACCCAGCAAAATAGAATCTCAAAGCCGCTCATCTGAAGATTTATTAACAAATGAATACATAAAATTGAATGCGTATCACAAACTTTTCTAGTTGGCCTAAAGCGCTCAAACTATCAGAGTATAGGCAATACTTCCGAGTAGAGCGTGAGGAAATTAGTCGTAGTGCCATAAGGATAGCAACAGCTAAATGTATCATCAGGGATGATGACACAAGAGTCTACATATCAACAAACTTGTGTAGATAAGCAATTTATTGTGACTACACACAAGAGGAACAAATAATGCAGAGAGAGAGAGAGAGAGAGCAATTCGATTGACAATAATAAGTATAGACAACCCATACCATATGACGAACAAAGTTTGCAGTGTAATGTTTTACAGGCTTGACTAGCTGATGATCGGTGACAAGGCGAGCATCTCCCCCGTTACTCAATTGCAGTGAGGAAGCAAAATTGTAACACAAATGAAAAGACTCTTGCATGGCTAAGAGTTTCTGAGCAAAGTAGATATCCTTCAAGACGGGTCGAGCCTCCGGGTGGTGGATGGCTGGCTGCAAAAAGGTTTGTTGTTAAAAAGACAATTCAATATATCATCACATGAATAAGAAAATAATACTTACAGACAGGGCCAAAGATTTTTGAAAAAAAGGAAGTTTTGACCAACCCAGTGGAACATTAAAATTATCCAAGAATGCTAATAAATGATCGAGGTCAGAATCTACTTTAGTGAAAAGACCATTATAACCCATCAACAACATTTGTCCATGGTTCAGGCCTGTAATCAAAGGGAATGATTTTAGGTTTAATTTCTTACTCTTTCATTTGATACATTTATTTTAAACACGTTTAGAAAAACTTTAACAAACTTTCTAGACAAAGATTTAAAAACTACCTTTTTTGTTCCAAGAACAATCTTATAATTAATTTTTAATTGATATGAGATATCAAGGATGAAATCTGTAGGTTGAATACTAGAACTGGCTTAATCAGGGTGGCCACTCAAAACAGATTTCAAATTTCCCTGATTTTTTCAGGTAAAAATCTTAAAATTTCCAGGTTTGTGTTTTTTTTTTTCCTTTTTTCTTATAAAGTGTAGGATGTGTACAAGAAAAGTGTCTGTATTATAAAATATCTTATTCAAAATGTCATTTTTTTAAACATATCTTGAAAAAAAA